AGCGCCACAACCCAGAGTCAGTCATGACTGGACCTAATGGTCAGGGGTCCCTTTACCTTTACCTCTCTCCACTGAGTCATAGTCTGCTCCGGAGGATTGGGGGCACCCATGGGCTAGCTATGCTCTAGCTGAGTACTACCAGTGATTATTTACACCAGGTAAGTATCTCTAGCTCAAGATAAAGTCCTATCAAAACGAATGTAGTGGTAGGTGCGTCATACTGAATTAGAGGCGCATGGTGAAGTTCACTTGTAAAACAGTCCAATATTTACAGCCTGGCTCTTCCAAAGTGAATACAAAACAAATCAGTTTCCAAAGATTATCCAAAGCAACACCTTTAAAGCACAATTGGTAAGATGGCATGGGGTGTAAGCATATCCATCTGAGAAGTCCAAAGGAACACTCTAAGAAGCATCAGATCTAGGTGTTTTGTCAACAATCCTGCTTTAAAACTAGTTAGTCAACACTGAACTTGAAAACCTACATAGTTAAAAACTAACTTTAATGAAATGATTGTCTTCATTTTTGTGAAAATATTAATTTACTGCCATCAGGCTTCAATAAAGGTGTTCAGGTCCCAAACAGCCCTTGATTTTGTAAACCACCACCAAGCCATGTCTGTTTTAATAGTTAACTAAAACTCTGGATATTGTCCATTTTCTTAATGACACTACTTTTGAGGATTACTGTCATATTGAGAAGTGTATTTTAATATTCCAGGAACTCTTTCTGGTCATTCTAAAAGCAATTCTTATATTTGCCCAGGTACCATCCGGAGCATAAGCATCATTTTCTTTCGCAATGCTTGTAACTCCAAATATAAGTCAGCTATAAGGTGCCAGACTAATCCTGCTTCAAGTTAAAATCTGAAATTGGGAAGGAAAAAAACTAGATATTCTATCGTAGTAAGTTGTAGAGGACTCTGCACCTATCTTTGTTGGAACCTGCCCAAGAGTGGCTGGGGAAACCCAGCCAGATGGACGTGGTATAAATTGTTGTTATCATCTGCATAGAATAAGAGTAGTGTGAATATGGCCACTGCCAAATTCCATACAATTATTTAACCATGTGTACATTAAATAAGATTTCATATTCAATACCTTAAGGGGGAAAAATCCTCCTTATTGTGCAGAAACACAAACCAGAAGTTAGAATTAATTCTCAGAAGTGTGAAGGCAGCAACCCTGGATAATTAAAAGAACCACAAGATATACACAAGTATCTTCAATGTTATCTTCCAATATATTAAGTGAAGACATTTTATTTTGCATGTGTTAAGATGGATCCAGTCAGAGAAATAAGCTTTCTGCATCTGAATAATTTATCAAAATAATGTTTATTTTCCCCACAAAGAATCAGCACTCATTGTGGAGGATCCAGATTCCTGGGTCTTGCAGCATCCAAATAAAGCTTTTGATTTACACCAGTTCTGTGAAGTTTAGAATTGAAGCAAGTCTTTTCATAATTACTGTAGTACAAACTGCTAGAGAATTACTGGTATGTGGAACAATTACAACAGTTCAGGAAATGGATGTCTTAGTGCACTTATGTCTTATTTTTTTTGTTTAGCAAACATGCTATATTGTCTATTGTCTGTGCACAAAGTGAAAACTGTAGATTCCCACTGTAGAAGAAATCCGTCTCAGTAAGCAACACACTGTGTCAAGCTGCCCTTTTCTCCCTTAGACCTGCAGTCTTAAGACAAAAACTTTGCCAAACATTACATAATCTTTTTATTATTATTAAATGAGAAAATCTCATTCTCTTACATTGTCACATTGCTCGTCAGAGAAATGCTGCAGTGATGAAGAAAGTCAATGTTGGGGCAAAGTCCTCATTTCTACAACATTCATTTACAGAAATTATAGTCATGTTCAACACAGCTCATCAACACAACATTCTTAGGTTCCTTCACGAGGAGTCCAAAAGATCCTTCCTCTAAGGGGGCATGTCACTATGTAAAATTATAGTTCTCCCCTCTTTGAACGATTCATTCTCAAACTGCACAAGATGCAAGGCAGACATCTCTAGAAAATCTTCACACATCATCATCATCTGATGTGTCACTGCTGCTTGTCTCCGTGTCGTCATTCTCAATTGTTGGTTTGAAAGTGCTGTTTTTCCAGGGACTGGAATTTGAAGTCACAGATGAGGCCATTTTTTAGAATACCATTTTTCCTAAGGCCATTTTTTGTAACTGAAATTTAAAGCACAAATCAATTTAGCTATCTGAAAATGGCAGCTTGAAAAGCATTTATTTTTGTACAAGGTGTTAAGCATGTGTATTTCACGTCTGGCAACAAAAATTAACTTCGCAAGATTCAACAATGGCATTAGTACTATGTTTTGTAGATGCTTGCATTTCCAGGTTTCTTTTGGTTTTTTTAGTAACAAACATGAAAATAAGCATGTAATTAGATTCCTGTCATTAGATCTCAAGTCAAAGTATGAGGTTAAAGAGAGCATGAACATAGATGTAAATCCCTAGTTACGATTCCATTTCCCATAAACTGAGTATGGTTTACATATTGTTTACAATATACAGTAAGTGGTCTCTACTGCCACATCCCTGATTCTATAAAGCTGAACTGGATAAAGGGGGGAGGCTACTTTAATATGAATACACAAAACTTGCTGCAGCCATTAGTAAGCTGAACCCCATTTCAAACCCAATTCAAATAGTTCACACATCCCTTTCAAATAGGGGTCTATGGTCTTATAGGAATTAACCTAGTTTCTAGATACCCATCTTCCCCTCCTGTATCTCTGAACCAGTAGATTTACAAAATATTTTCCTCAGGACTAAATATTGGAAATTCCCCCTGCAATATTCCAAGGCTCAAATCTAAGGGATGGGAACAGGATGCAAAAAGTTTAAATAAGAGGTCAACCAAACCAGTATGTCCATCTTCTATCCCACTCAATAGAACATTTCACTGAAACATAAGAAACTCAAGTTATGTAGGGCTAGCTTTCGCTCTCACCTGTTCACTAATGACCTGAAATTCCCTCATTTCATCCTCAGTTAGCGGAGCACAGGTCTCATCGTTTTCACTGTCTTCCTGCCAACCCATCTCCTTTAACAATCTTTACAAAAGAAATAAAAATGTGGACATTTATAAAAAGATCAGCAACTTTCATTCTCCAGACCCACTCTAATTGCTCTGAAGGGTGCAATTTAATTCTTCTGGCCAGCTCTCACAACCTTGCATTCTTAAGACTTTTTGGAGAAAGTGATTGAAAAAGCAAAAGGTTTGCTTCACTTCCCTGTCCATTTTTTCTTCATGCCTCTCTTCTTCCCATTCGAGAAAGAACATCAATACATCAGAAAACCCAGTGCACAACAGGGGTCTATACATGGATGCTTATCTAATGTATTTCTAATCTATTCTTTAGGATACAACAGAGGCAAATGTTCAACTTAAAACAATATAAATAAAACAACACTTCCAAGGACCATACAGCTGAATGACAATAACTATTTATGTGCAGTATGTGAAATACTGAATCAAAACTATCAAGTTAATTCCTATTGTTAGCCAACTTAACCTTGTATACAAGGGGTGGGAAACCTTCAGTCCTCAAATCAAATTTGGCCAGTCAAGGGGCTAAATTTTGTCCATGATACTATTTTCCCCAAACCAGAGACACCTGCCCTACACCTGTCATTATGTACATCAGGTGTGGGGCAGGTGGAAGTATGGCTTAATCAGCTGCGCTGTTGTTCCCCTGAGAAACTTGATAGCCTAGCTGATCCTTGCAGAAAACCAAGATGAAGTCACTGCCCATCAGCTGGATGTGCGCTGAGTTCAAGCCTACTGGATCAACTGCAATGACTGAGTTCCACTGGGAATTGATGTCAATCGACTGACAGGTTGTCCCACCTACCTGTCAAAAGTTGGCCTATGGACAGACAAGGTTCTGCTCCACCAGGTCAAAACGTTTCCCTGCCGCTGCTGTAAGACCTATCCTTCCAGCAAGCAGTATTTTTCAACAGGTTAAAACCATGTCAATAACTGGAAAATTACATACCGATGCTCTGCTTCAAGTGAGCTTGAAAGGACATCGGTCTGCGGAAATGTTGAAGACCGAATGATCTGGCTGAGACATCATTATAGCATTTCTATTTTCTTGAGGAATTTCATTTTCAAAGTTTCGGTTTATGTCCCTCTCTTCGTGACCATTGTTGCTGTTATGTAAATTTAAATTCATCATCATCATCCTGTTAAAGAAGTCCACATATTTGAGTAAATTCCAAAAAGATTGTCCATGATTTGCATGAATATAAAGACGCAACAAGCCTACATATTGCATTCCCACTGAAGTTAAGCCCATAGAAAGAGCACTGCTAGAGCTTGTCCCAGCATTCCATTTTCCACAGAAGCCAACAGATGTCTCTGAGAAACCCACAGCAAGACATGAGTGCAATGGAACTCTGCTACTGTTGCTCCCACCTAAGCAAGTGTCTTTCAGGGGCACACCAGCCTCCAATTCTGGGAGAGCATATAGACATTGTGACTAATGAGACTGTTATCTCTGAATTGTGAAGCACAAAGTACCTTTGTTTACTTTTGGGGTGTGGTACAGGACTGACTAAAACAGCTGAATTTTAAGCTACATAGGATAGAGACAGTAAGTTCTGATGACCAACATATGCTAAGCTCACTATGGAAGATATTCCTTTAAGTAGATTCCAAATAGAAGACAATCCTTATCTACATTTTACGTCACTCTTTATGATCAACATGGCATCACAAGTCTTAAAGAAGACGCTGGCAATCCCCACCCGCCATGGAACCCATTGACTATACACAATTTTGGCTTTATGCACTATCCTCAGAACGCAGCCCCCACGTAAGCTGAAAGTCTGTAGTAAAAATGAAACACACATGACGCTCTGTACAAAATTTGTAGTACCTTCTCTTGCCCTCATGCTCCTCTTCCACTCGATCCCGTTTCAGTGTCTTCAAGAATTCACTCTTCTTATCAGTGCGCCATTCGAGTCAATTTGGTTAAGCGAGGCTGGCCAAGTTTATCAACTGGAGATGAGGAATTTGATCGATTACACTATGGTGGAGAAACACACAATACTGAGATGAAGAAAAACTTCATGGCAATGTTTCATTTTGTTCAGCTGCCAGTATTTCTGTTTTATTTAAATATAGTTTCAAATTTCCATTTAATTCTCAAAAATCACAAGTTCATGAAACATAGCTTCTCCAAACTAGAAATACCCCAAATAAAAAAATAACCAATTTTTCTGTACCTCTTTCACTGAATTCTGTGATCCAACAGCCTAGCAGTAGATTTGAAAGCACTAAAGTTTCCAATACCATATGGAGAATCATGAGGAAATGGAGGGCCAAGTTTGTTATCTTTTGTTTGGCTTTTCCACTGTGTTGTCTAAATAAATCAAAATGATGAACAATTTTTGACCAGGTTAATAAACTAAATTCTTTACATTATTTAATGTTTATGACAAGAACCTGAACATGTTTATATAGCACCATCAGTCTACATTACAATATATGGGGGGGGGGGTAATTAAAGAGAGGGGTTGGCCCCTTCCTTGAGAAGCTTAGAATCTAATTTTGACAAAGAGAAAGAGAAGGCAATGAGAAACAGAGAGAGGTAACAAGAGATAAAGGAGTACACAGGGTTGCATTTATTTTGCTTTAATACGTGTCTTACATTTAATGCTTTAACAGAGAAAGTGAAAAACATTACAAAACAAGAGAAGAATCTGCAATCCCCTCCTCCAAGACACATTACTTATACACATCTTACCTTTGGCAGGTGGAATGACAGGTTTAGGAAACTAAACCTTTATAGACACTTGTACCAGTTCCATTCTTTACTGACTGTGAATGAATATTTCCTGCTACAGGGAATCCAGATATCTGTAAATCTTTCGTACTGCCTTTCTTTATAACCAGCATTCGTGGAGATCTAGATTTTGGGTTCAGAGGATATTCTGCAAAGAAACAAAAGTTTCATCTTATATATTGTGTTGATATTTTTAATTCAGGAGGAAAACACTGAAGAGGCTCAGGTGATACAGTTCTCCTTATAACTCTGTAGATCATCATAGCAAAACAAGTGTTTATGTTTATAACCAGGTACCATGGAACTGAAAGAAGCCGTCTGACCTAAGAAGAGACAGTATTTAAAACAGTCCAACAGCTTTAGGCACAGAACATCATCTTGGACCCCCACCAAAAGACTGCCAGCAGGACATGAAACAAAACAAAATGATTTTAAAAAAAGAGGGAGGCATCAGCATACTTGAAGGAACCCCAAAAGTCTTTGTGAAGTACAAAAATATTAAATACAAAACCTTAGGTGATGAAAAAACCCAAAGCATGGCCCAAGAATAACCAAGCATGCTTAGTAGCCATGTGATGCTGCATGATAGTTAGAAAATAAAAACAGAATGGAGCATGGAATGGACTATCCTGCGGAGGAGGGCACAGCTGGCTGACACCTAATTCTTGTTAGGTGACATGCATATACTGTAACTGCTGCAGGCCCCACTTGCATCAGAAATTTTTCTCTAACAATGCACAGCCATCATGGTTTCAGGAACACTAACACGTGATGGCTATCTTTAGTGCAAGAATGTGAATATGCATACATTATAACTCCTTATGAGCAGCACAGCCACATTATTTCTGATAGTTTTTCAATGCTCAATAATGCATCACAAAAATCAAACAGCATCACAAAGTATAGCTGACTTAAGGTGCAACAATAAAAAATCACTTCAAAAGGCATTTTTAAAACAAAAATGACACTCAAAAAGCTTTTACTGTAATTTAAAGCCCAGTGCTCTTACCCAAACACCAAGCAGCTAATGATTTATTCTGGTTGGGTTCTCTCTCATATTCAGGATTCAGGATGGCTGAAAAGAAGGGGGGAAACAAAATACAGTTTGATTTAAGATCTACTGGAAAATATCCAAACTATGCCAGATCATAAATATTACAATTTAGAGAGATGATTCAGATCTGGCAAATGATGTTTACCAATGAGGGTGCTGAATCTTTATTTCAGCATCACTCAATGAAACCTACATCTAACAAAATGAAATCTACATTAAAACCACCAATAGAGGTCACCCAAGGGTTTGGGGTTCAAAGTCATCACTATGCAATATCCAATGCTATCTTTACTTTCCATCTCACCCAGGGAGGCTGTAAAGCAGGGTTTGGGAACAGAATCCCACTGGCAGACCACATCTTGATGTCGCCTACACCACACAGGCTGGCAAGGCCACTCACCTGTTAATCATCTGGAACCACCCTGAAATCATAACTCAAGACAGGCTGAAAATTAAGATCCCTGCTGAAAGTAGAGCTCAGTCCCTGCTTTCACCAGATTGGCTGTACTAAGAAGTTCCCAAATGGGAACTCCCTACTGTAGCTGATCACAGTGGGGGCTTGCTCTCAGCACCTATCAGCACTGACACCCAATTCCCATTGTCAAGTAAAGGTCAGGAGTGCACTTCTACCAATGGAGGTCTTGATTAAAGCTCAATGAAAGCACATAAATGATGCACTTCTGCGAGTGAATGAGTTCATTATGATTAACTTACAAAATCTTCGGCTTCAAATTGTTTGGGTTCTTCCTTGTCTTCCTTTTTCAGAGTCTCACTTTCCGGTGCATTTTTTTCATGCAACCCTTGGCTTTTTCCAGACTGAAAGCTACTGGCGCGAGCACGTGAACCTCCGCTATGATATCCCACTCTGATGGTGTGTGGTTTTCAGTGCCATTCTCTACCTTTGTGAGAACGCCAGCCATTTCTCATCCTTTCGTCCACAAATAGCCCCTTGGATTTTAAAAATGGGCAAAAGTTACAAGCAGTTCCAAAAAAATTTACTTTGCAGAAGAAAATTTGAAATGTAAGGCAGCCTCAAAAATAACTGAAGTTGGTGGAACTGTAAATTAGGAACTGAAATAAATTGAAAATGATTGATATTAAAAAAATTAGACATAAGATCCCATGGTTAGTCACTCAGAAAATCTGAAGCAGGGGTAGTGTTGAAAAAAAGACAAAAGTAGTTGCTTGTAATTAAGTGAATCTGCAGGCAGAAGTATTAATTTCAAAGAGCAATACCACACAGAAGTTATCACACCCATAAAAAGAATGGAAATACAGCAATCCAGCCACCAGAGATTATAGGTGTATAAATTTTCTTTACAACTTTTAGAGAGCAGACCATTGAACATGCAAAACAACTCCATCGCAACTTTGAAAAAGTTTGTTTTTTTCTTGGTGTAGTAATATGCAATATACAAATACTGGGAAGTAAATTTGGGGTAGTAATTTTACAAAATACATCCAAGTGTTGCTCGCCTTCCTATAGCTATACTACAGAGGATAAAGCACAATCTATGGCTCTTCATCCAAAGAGCAGTTCTGTAGTTGTGCTGCATGGAGTTTTCAGTTTATCCAATACAGTCACCCATATTGATTTCAGCTTACACAGTGAACTGTTCAGAGGGTTTATGAACTAGGAGCAGCTCAACACTTAAAAAACAGTAAAAATAAAATAGGGTTACACTGTATCTAGAGGATTAAACACATACAAACCTCCATTTGAACGACCACTACTAGGATCAAATCCATCAGAAGAATTGTGTCGCCTACGGTTAACTTCATAACGATTCTCTGTCCATGAAAAGCTGTCGGAATGCTTCTCAAAATTCAGTGATGACTAAAAGTAAACACAAATATTAAGTGAGGTCTACAACAGCAAAACTAAATAAATCATCTTCAGCTACTATGTTGGCATGCAAGAGTGCAAAGGTTTGGTGTTTAAACACTTTTTAGTTTTTCTAAATCTGAAGCCACTAAAATCATACCCAATATTATTATTATTATTTATTAAATTTATATACCACCCTATACCCAGGGGTCTCAGGGCGGCTTTAAGAATAAAATCAAAATATAAAACCACAAAATACATAATCAAAATAAAAACAACAACCCAATAACCCCCCCCCAAAAAAAGCCACATTTTAAAAGGGCAAGAGTAAAGGGGAGATAAAGTCATAAACTTCCAGAGCAACTGACAAACAGCACTCTGCCATTTTACCTGCGTTCTGTGGCTGCGAGGTATAACTATCATGAAATATAGATGAGCAGCAGACTGGTTTCCAAGGTGAGCAAGTTTGAAAGCCAAGGCTCCACTATCAAAAAGGTCCTACCATATAGCCTCACCTACACAGTGGTGATGAGACACAGTACAGGGTCACTAACTTATTACCTCACCTGGCAAGCTAGAGAATCTTTTGAAACAACTGGGTCTGAAACTGTAAAGGCTTTTAAAGGTAATGACAAAATTTAATTTACCTCTAAAAGAAACTGTGAGCCAGGGCAAATTAAACAGTAGCAGAGTCATACTGCTATAGCACCATTCTTTGCTATCACTGTACAAAGCTATACAGTGGTACCTTGGTTTACGAATTAATCCGTTCCAGAAGTCCATTCTTAGACGAAAGCGTTCTTAAACCACGACGTGCTTTCCCATAGCAGTGGGGGACACAATTTACAAATGGAAACACACTCAACATGTTCTGCTTTCCAAGGCAAAGTTCACAAACCAAAACACCTACTTCCAGGTTTGCAGCGTTCTTCATCCAAGTTGTTCGTAAACTAAGCCAGGCATCCCCAAAACTCGGCCCTCCAGCTGTTTGGGGACTACAATTCCTATCATCCCTGACCACTGGTCCTGTTAGCTAGGGATGATGGGAATTGTAGTCCCAAAACAGCTGGAGGGCCGAGTTTGGGGATGCTGTTCTTAAACCAAGGTACCACTGTATTGTATTGCTGAGGTTGAAGGCAGTGTGTGAACATGAAGAACATGAAAAATAATCTTTAGTTCAGGGCAACTGGCAGTTCCTCAGCCAGTACAGAAGCTAGTTGGACGGATGAAGCAGAGTTCTCTCGTTTTTGTTGGCCCCAATATACATGGCAATGAAGGCGGAGATCACTTTCTTTAATAATCTCTTCCAATATGACTCTTTCTGTTTAAGATCTTTAGTAGTGATTTTTAAAAACAGAACAGTAACATGATCTTTTCTTTCATGAATAGGAACCTTTTGGACCGAGACACATTTTCAAAATCTGATCCAAGTAAGTACAACATTTATTTGTTAATGAAATTTTCAATTTCCTATTCAACTCTCACAATATTTTCTTTTAAATTAAAATGAATTATGCAAGGGACTGGATGAAAGGTTAATTAGCCAGTAATCCTTACTGATAATTTTTGGTACTGGTTCTTGTGTAAGTAAATCAGTGCCCTGGTACTATAAAGCCAGGGCTGCAATGAAGCCAACCTTGCATCCTTCTGATATGGTTTTTCCTTTACCACTAACACTGAATAATTCTTTTGAGTGATGGATGC